AGTGCTAAGGGGAAGGTTCATAGCAATACAAGCCTACCTCAAGAAGCAGGAGAGATATCAAATATATAACCTATCTCTGCACCTAAAGCAACTAGAAAAAGAAGAAACGAAGTACCCCAGGGTCAGTAGAAGGAAAGAAATCATAAAAGTTAGGGCAGAAATAAATTCAAAAGAAACAAAGGAGACCACAGCCAAAATCAACAAAGCTAAAAGTTGGTTCTTTGAGAGGATAAATAAAATAGACAGACCATTATCCAGACTCATCAAGAAACAAAGGGAGAAAAATCAAATCAACAAAATTTGAAATGAAATTAAGAAATCACAACAGACAAGACAGAAATACAAAGTATCATAGGAGATTACTATCAGCAACTATATGCCAATAAAATGGACAACTTGGAAGAAATTGACAAATTCTTAGAAAAGTATAACTTCCCAAAACTGAACCAGAAAGAAATAGAAAATCTTAACAGGCCCATCACAAGCACAGAAATCAAAACTGTAATCAGACTTCTTCCAACAAACAGAAGCCCAGGTCCAGATAACTTTACAGCTGAATTCTACCAAAAATTTAGAGAGGAGTTAACACCCATCATACTCAAACTCTTCCAGAAAATTGCTGAGGAAGGTAAAGTTCCAAACTCATTCTACGAGGCTACCACCACCCTAATGCCAAAACCAGACAAAGATGCCAAAAAAAAGAAAACTACAGGCCAATAACACTGATGAACACAGATGCAAAAATCCTTAACAAAATTCTAGCAAAGAGAATCCAACAACGTATTAAAAAGGTCATACATCATCACCAAGTGGGCTTTATCCCAGAGGTGCAAGGATTCTTCAGTATTCACAAATCAATCAATGTGATACATGACATTAACAAATTGAAAGATAAAAACCATATGATTATCTCAATAGATGCAGAGAAAGCCTTTGACAAAATTCAACATCCATTTATGATAAAAACCCTCCAGAAAGCAGGCATAGAAGGAACATACCTCAACATAATAAAAGCCATATATGATAAACCCATACCAAACATTATCCTCAATGGTGAAAAATTGAAAGCATTTCCCCTAAAGTCAGGAACAAGACAAGGGTGCCCACTCTCACCACTACTATTCAACATAGTTTTGGAAGTTTTGGCCACAGCAATCAGAGCAGAAACAGAAATAAAAGGAATCCAGATTGGGAAAGAAGAAGTAAGACTTTCACTGTTTGCAGATGGCATGGACTTCTACATAGAAAACTGTAAAGACTCCACCAGAAAATCACTAAAGCTAATCAATAAATATAGTAAAGTTGCATGATATAAAATCAACACACAGGAATCCCATACATTCCTATACACTAATAATGAGAAAACAGAAAGAGAAATTAAGGAAACAATTCCCTTCACCATTGCAACGAAAAGAATAAAATACTTAGGAATGTATTTACCTAATGAAACAAAAGACCTTATATATAGAAAACTATAAAACACTGGTGAAAGAAATCAAAGCAGACACAAATAGATGGAGAAATATACCGTGTTCATGGATCAGAAGAATGAATATAGTGAAAATGAGTATACTACCCCAAAGCAATCTATAGATTGAATGCAATCCCTATCAAGCTACCAACAGTATTTTTCACAGACCTAGAAAAAATAATTTCACAATTTGTATGGAAATACAAAAGCCTCAAATAGCCAAAGCAATCTTGAGAAAGAAGAATGGAACTGGAGGAATCAACCTGCCTGACTTCAGGCTATACTACAAAGCTACAAGCATCAAGACCATATGGTACTAGCACAAAGACAGAAACATAGATCAATGGAACAAAATAGAAAGCCCAGAGATAAACCCACGCACCTATGGACACCTTATCTTTCACAAAGGAGGCAAGAATATACAATGGAGAAAAGACAACCTGTTTAACAAGTGGTGCTGGGAAAACTGGTCCACCACTTGTAAAAAAATGAAACTAGAACACTTTCTAAAACCATACACAAAAATAAACTCAAAATGGATTAAAGAGCTAAACGTAAGACCAGGAACTACAAAACTCCTAGAAGAAAACATAGGCAATACACTCTGCTATCAGTCTTAGCAATACTGTTTGGATCTGTCTTCTCAGGCAAGGGAAACAAAAGAAAAAATAAACAAAAGGGACTGCATCAACCTAAAAGGCTTTTTCAGAGTAAAAGAATCCATCAACAAAATGAAAAGGCAGCTTACTGGATGGGAGTATGTAAATGATTTGCACATGATATACCCAACAAAGACTCAATATAAAATATGCGAAGAACTCACACAACTCAACATCAAAAACAAAAGTAACCCCATTAAAAAAAAAATGGCCAGAGGACGTGAAGGGACATTTTTTTTCAAAGAAGACATGCTGATGGCCAACAGGAATATGAAAAGATGCTCAATATCACTAATCATCAGGGAAAGGCAATTCAAAATCACAATGAAATATCACCTCACACCTGTCAGATTGACTATCATCAAAAAAAAAACACAACAAATATCAAGTGCTGGTGAGGATACAGAGAAAAGGGAATCCTCCCATACTGTTGGTTAAGGTTATAATTGGCACAGTCACTATTGTGAACAGTATGGAGAGCCCTTAAAAAATTAAAAATAGAACTACCATATGATCCAGGATTTTCACAGGTGGGTATTTATTCAAAGTAAACAAAAGCCCTAACTGGAAAAGGTACATGCACCCCTATGTTCACTGTCATGCTATTTACAATAGCCAAGATATGGAAGTTAAGTGAAGTGTCCACTGATGGATGAATGAAGAAGATACCCTATATACATACAGTGAAAGATTACTCAGCAATTAAAAAAAAATGAATTCTTACCATTGGTGACAACATGGATCAATCTAGAGGGTATTATGCTAAGTGAAATAAGTTGGAGAAAGACATAATGAATGATCTAACTTACATGTGGAATATAAAAACCAAAACAAAACCAAAGTAGACAAAGATACAGAGAATAAACTAGTGATGGGGGTTGGTACAAAACAGGTGAACAAGATTAAGTTATAGAATAAATAAGCCATGAGGATGTCATATACAGAATACAGATTTTGGTAACTAATAACTGTAATAATTTTGTATGGGAACAGATGGTAACTAGACTTAGAGTCATCCTTTTCCAGTGTATGAAAATACCAATCAGTATGTGGCATACCTGAAACTAACATCTTGTTAATGTCAATTATATTTCAGTTTAAAAGAAGTAAAAAGATAGAGATCTCTTTTCCTTCACAGTCAACAAGGAATGGTCACATGGGGACATAGACGGAAGGTGGCTGTCTACTGGCCAGGAAGAGAGTTCTCACTAGAAACTAAATATGCTGGCACCTTGATCTTGCACTTCTCAGCCTCCAAAACTGTGAGAAAATACGTTTCTGTTATGTAAGCCACCAGGTCTATAGTATTTTGTTATGGCAGCCTGAACAAACTAATACATATTTCACCTATTTTTCTCTTTCTCTCAAACCCTTTCCAACTCCTTTGATGGGAAGGTTCCACAATCACAAAGGTGGTTCCAGAGCCAAAGGAGGGAAAACAGTTGAAAATTATGGGTTTCCCATGTTGGAAATTTTTACAATCTTCCCCTAATTAAAAAAAAAAAAAAAACCTGGCCATGCACTTATGTAATGTGTTTGGAATGTTGCAAGGAGAGTTAATGCATTATTAGAACCAAAGGGCTGATAAAGTACACCTTGTTTGATGTAAGTGCATTCAGAATAATTTATTAGAGTAAATATGTATTGTGGCAAGGTACACCACAACATCATCCCGGGCAGGGGGAAACACAAGCCTCTACGCAGATGAACACTCCAGATCTATTTACACGGAAACCCTGGGCAATCCTTCATCACAGACTGCCTGGCTGCCCTCATGGTCTCAGTATTCTGTGCAGTGAAAAAGTAACTGTCAAGGATACCAAGAATACAATTTGACCTACTTTCCCCATAGACTCTTGAAAAGTCTCTAACTCTGATTTTTGTGTTTATTTACCTATCACAATTCGGGGGACACATTTCCTCCCTTTCTGTGCAGGCAACCCTGTACTCCACACGTTAAGGTCATTTGCAGGTAATTCCTAAACTTCCCTGGTCATTTGACCTAAAGATGTCCTATTCCTACTCAGCTAATCCTCAAAATATCCTTCTGAGGTAGAGCATGGACAGTCATCTCTACGTGGGAAGAATTCTCAGGGAACGAGGAACACAGCCTAGAAAGGCCAAAGACACAATGGTCAGTTCAGACCCTTTCCTGCCCAAAGGAAGCCATACCAAACCCAATGTTTCTCCCTGACTCTCAAGTTTCACAAACATATCTTTCTAGAGCTGAAAGTCCCCAAGCAAGATCTTTTAAGGCAGACAACGAAGACTTCTTTTTTAAATTACAGACCAAACTATCTACCTTGTGGTACCTTCTCGGTAAAGTGTCCTAAATGATGCCAGATTTTTAAAAGCTGAGTAAAAACCCTCAAAGGTGCCCAAGGCCCTGGAGAACAGGGAGACCCGACAAGCCAGCAGGGCCTTCGGAGTGACTTATGAGAGATCCCAGGCCGTCCCACTTTTCTTCACCACAAAACATGTCTGACCTTCTCGGGCCATTAGATGTACTTAGAACCCAACGAGGGACACTCCTCCACCAGAAATCCTGCCGAACACACCAAGCAGGAAGGCAATATTTAAGATTCTGGGGGTGACGATGAGAAGTAAGTGCTGGTGACTGGGGAGCACAGGAGCTAGAGCTCCCCGCAGAACTTCCAACTCCGGCGTCTGTCCCTTGGCCGTGGAGAAGGCCAGAGCCAGTGTTGGTGCCCAAAGCTGCAAGGAGGCGTCCAACAGCAGTGCACATGTCTCCTGCCTCCTGCTAACTGAGGTCCCGCGTGTGGGGCCTTGAGCTCGTCGTCGTGACAGGGCCGGCTGTTTGGCATCGGACACCTGAGCTCCCGATCTGGGGAGAGGCAAACTGCCCTTCTTCAGGCGATGCTCAGGGTCCCGCAGCTAGAATCCAGGTGCTCTGGGGATAAGTCAGGTGTATCTAAGGTAAAGGGAAAATGCCGCTCCGCGGGGGTCACCCCGCGACCCTGTCTTCCCGGGCCCCTCTTCTGCCTAGGCCGGCACAAAGGCTCCACCGCCGGCACCTTCCCAACTTCCAGATGCCCTCCTTGGCCTCCCTGAGGGTGGGCGTGGGCTCCACGCGCGCGCCACCCACGCCCACTCTGGCTGCGCAGAACCCGGCCACTCACCGGGCCCACAGCGACGTCACGCTTCCACCGCAGGGTGAGCCCGCTCCGCAGCAGCGCTGGCAGGTCCCGCAGCCCTGGTGGCAGAGGCACCAGCAGCTGCTGGAAACCGTGCTCGCGCTCGCTGGGGCTGTGGCGCAGGGCGCCGTCCGCCGCCATCACAGCCGCCACCGCGGCCAGGACCCGGCTCTCTCACGGCAGCTGCATCTTGACGCAGCCCACGGCCGTCCTCAGGCCCTGACGGCGGCTATGGCGCCTGCGGCTCTTCCCCGCGCTCACCTCCACGCGCCTTCTAGACCTTCGTTAGACAAGACAGTGCAACCGCGGCTCGGCCTTGGGGCTCGCTGCCAAACGCTGCCCATTGGCTCGCGCTGAGGCCCCCGCGGAGCTCAGCCCCGCGTGCCTCCCCGCCCCGCCCTTCTCCGCCCAGGTTTGCCTGGCCCCGCCCCTCCAGGCCCTGTCTCGCCTTGCCCGGCCACGCCCAGGTGCGCCTAGCCCCACTCCTGCCCCGCCCTGCCTCGCCCCACCTCACCTCGCCGCGCCCTACCCTCCCTGCTACACACCTCTGCCTGAGGACTGGGCCCCTAAGCCGCTCCCTGAACCTCTTCCACAGGTGAGGGATTCCCAGAATCCACCACCAAAACCACCACATTGCCTGCCCATCCCCCTACTCCCTTTAGGCTGAAAAGCCCCGCTTCACCCCCTTTTCCTCTATGCTGGGCTCAACCTGAACTTCGACCAAGTGAGCTAGGAAGTGGGGAACACCACCACTCAGCCTGGGCGCACAAGGTGGTTGTTTTGTTTTTTTTTTTTTCCCTTCACAGCCTTACCCCAAATCATAATCACTGTTCCCAGAAATGGTTTTCGCCGAAGAACTTCAAAATAGGCTCTGTAGCCTGCTACAAGTCAAACACTGCTGAACTAGAATTGCCCCCATGCTGTCCTCTCCAAAGAGAGGCCATTCATCATTAAGGTCTAAAACTTTTGTTCATTATGATAGGTGCTGAGGAAAGTAGATGCAAGTCTGGTGACCTGGAGATGATTCTGTGTGAACAAGCGGGAAGCTGACCTCTCCTGAAAGCCTGAAACATGTGATGAATGTGCTTGGTAAAGTGTAAAGGCCTACTATGGTGTGAATCATTGTTCACACCATTCCAGGAGGCAGGAATAGTGGAGCCCTAGCAGAGAGACTCTTCCAACAGGGACTTAACCTTCACCCTCCAGATCAATCTGTCTTCAGCAAGGGGCAGCCACTGCTTTTACTCCTTATCAGTAGAACACAGGGCTCCTATCTTTGCCCAAGACTTGGCATGAACTGAATAAGCTTACTCACATTAGAAAAAATAAAGTTGACAACCAAGGATGACAAGGGATCAGGGCCCTTTGTTGGTTTACCACTGTACACTCAGCCCTCATATGGCAGAAGCTTGGCAAATATAAACGGAAATATGGCCATGCAAGGAAAAAAGAAGAATGACCTGTGACCTCTGCCTTCAACGATCTTAAGACTTGTTTTTGCTGTTCAGTTGCTAAGTCGTGCCTGACTCTGTGACCCCATGGACTGCAGCATGCCAGGCTTCCCTGTCCTTCACTATCTCCCAGAGATTGCACAAACGTAAGACCTGACCCAGGACTAGATACACATATAAAAAAACAAAGATATTGTGTTGTAGTCTTGATAATCGCCAAATGAGTGTGAATAATGAGCACTGCAGCTCACAGGAGGAGGGAAATGCTTTTGACCTGAGATGGGCAAAGAAAAGTCGATGAAGGGAGTTAGATTTGTGCTCTCAAGCTGAGTGCAGAAGTTTCAATCGCGCAGAAAAGAGGATGCTGGTCCTTCAAGTAAGAAGGAAAAACATGAGAAAAACGTCAGGGTGGTAGGACACAGAACCTATTTGGCCCTGAATGGGTCCTATTGATAGGAGAGGGGGATCTTGTGATGGAGGAGGAGGAGAAAATATCAGAATAGATGCTGATGACATATTGGACACCTTATATCCTGTCACTGAAAGCTGTGTGTGTTTACTGGAAAGGACCCTCCAGTAAACCCTATCAGACATTGCAGTTTCCAAATACCTATTACATATATTTATTCAAGGCTGAAATTCCACTTGTACGGACCATGTAAGAGTGTACTGGCTTATATAATGTTCCCGTACTTCTGCTCCCACTGGTCATTAGGCATTGCCTTGAGCCCCAATGTCATGGGCTTCCCTCGTAGCTTAGTCGGTAAAGAATCTGCCTGCAATGCAGGAGACATGGGTTCAATTCCTGAGTCAGGAAGATCCCCTGGAGAAGGAAATGGCAACCCACTAAAGTATTCTTGCCTGAAGAATCCCTTGGACAAAGGAGCCTGGCAAGCTACGGTACATGGGGTCACAAGAGTCGAACATGACTTAGCAACTAAAAAAAAAAAAAAAAAAAAAATCAATGTCATACTCCATACTCCAGATTTCCTCCTGAAATACCAACTAAAGGTCCACTAGACTTCTGGTCCCGGTCCAGTAAAGGCACTCCAGGACACTTGTGACCAACAGTCTCTCTGAGGAATGGATGCAGAAGCCATGTCAGCCCTGAGAACACCCTTTGAATCACACCATGGACCTACTCTGCTCTAAAACAGAACACACATGTTCTGACTCCTGGTCCAGATCCTTGGACTTCATGCTCTTTCACAGAGTTTCTCAATACAAGACCAGGGAGTTTGGGACTTGACTCCACAGATTCTATAGCATCGACCAAGTCTAAAACTTAATATCAACAAAGGTCTTTGGAAAATTGGCTTGGGATAGGTGCTAAATGACAGCAGCCATATAGCTATGGCATAAGACAGACAGTATGGCATAGAAGGAATGTGTGAGCAGAAGAGCAGTGCCACTGTCTAGCTCGTATCAATTAATGTCCCACCCACCCCAGGACCTTTGCACTTGCTGTCCCATCTTTGTGATATACCCCACCTCAGAAATGCTGTCCAGTACAACTCTCTGTAATGGCAATGTTCTATGTCTGCTTTGTAGCTGCTAGTCATAGGCGACTTTTGAGCACTGGAGATGTGGCTACTGTGCCTGAAAAACTGAAGTTTATATTCTATTTAATTTTAATTAATACAAATTAAGATAGCCACATATGGTTGTGGGCTACTCTACTGGAAAGCAAAGGTCTAGAATTTCATGTTACCCTTCCTCTACGCCTTAAGTTTTTTCACTGAAATGTCTCCATTTCAGTGAAGGGTCATCCATGACCGTGTGATTTGAAATTTAGCCCTTCCCATCTGCCCCCTGCCCTGTCTGCTTTCTAGCCCTCCAATGTTGCCATCCATCAGTCTATCTATGTTATTTATCCACTTTCCCTATTGTCCATTAAATCCCAGAAGAGCCTGAAAGTCTTTTCCCTTTTGTTCAGTATCTAGAACATATTAGTCAAAGAATCTGCTTTTTCTGCATATGAGGACCTAGTGTTTCAAAAGGAGCTTAATCTGGATCTCCTGATTTTGCAATGTTGAAAGTTAAAAAAAAAAAAAGCAAATTGAATACTAACTTTGCACAGGTCAAACAAAACGACTGGGGATATTAGATCTGATTTTTACTTAGGAGAATGACATCATTAAACCTAAAGTTTATGTAAACACCAATGTTAAGAAAGTTTTATTGACTATTTGCAGTGAAGGAAAGTGGGATACCAGGAAGGTAACTCTGGCATTTACCTAACTACAAAAGAATGCAGGTTTGTATGAGTGGGGTTGGTGGAAACAGGGAGAGGTCAGATGTTAGACATATAAAAGAAAGCACTTCAGGGTGGTCTACACGTGATTTTCACCAACTCTCCCCACATAATCCTCTCTCTAGACAAACCCCAAATCTTTAGACAGATTATTCCTGATGCACCTATTTTACCACCAACCACTGAAACATAACTTCCTGATACTCTCTACTCTGAATACAGCTGTGGGGGAGGAGAACAAGCATTGAACGTGGAATCAAAAACCCAGGCCATGCCCCACATTTATTGATTTATTAGCCTTGTGACCTTCAACAAGCACTTCAGGTCTTTGAGCCTGTTTTCTCATCCATAAAACAGGGAATAATACAACCTGGTCTGTGGGGTGGTTATGAAGGCTAAAGTAAATAATGCCTATGAAAACACCAAGCAAACAATTGTATATCACACATATATACATATATAGTTGTCATTAATAAATTTCATCTATTTTATGTTTAAAACTGATCTAACTTAAAAAATTCCACAATGACTGCTTAATCAAAATTATCTCCAGGTAACTCCCTGAAGTCCTAACCAGGACACCATGCTTTCACTGCCAAGTGCCCAGGTTTGATCCCTCGTTAGGGAACTAAGACTGTTAAAACTTAGGCTGACTGTAAGTAAGTCATGCAGTCAAAAAAATAAGGGAAGGGAAAAAATTACCTCCACACATACACACATGCAAGTGTGTGTCTGATTGGATAGTAACATGAAATTTGCACACATTTTTACAAGGCTGCAAACTTTGTGAATGTCTTCTGGGCAATCCTCCAATTAGTTTTCCTAAAGTCTGAAGTCAAGACATAATAAAGAGAAAAACACTATGACATATCAATCTTTATTTGTAAATACATTTACTTAAAAATGGAAGTAATGTTGATAAGAGCAGCAATGAAGAACTTTCTTAGAGAATTACAATGTGACACTCATCTGCTTCTCTCCCCCTTACCTGGTCTCTTAGGAAGGAAAAAGAGAACTTGAGGAGGAGACACTTGCAGGAGTAAGAATGTATAACTGCTATTAGCAGAGCTGCTAACGACATCTTTATCTGCAGGAATTCTTTTATGTCTAGTGATTTAGAAGTACGAAAAGCTGTTAGTCATAAAGTTCCTGTTTATTCCTGACGAAACGTCAAAACCTGCATTGTCAAGGCTTAAAGAACCTGACTCCGCCCTCCACTTGATTTAGGATGAGCCAGTTTTTGGGTAAGGTCCACGGAGTTACATGCATATTTGTTTTCCTTGGCTCCTCTTTGGCTGCTATCATTCCTTCTAAATACCATGACAATTCCCCCACACTTACAGTGCTGTTCTCTGCATGGTGGGCATTACAGGCAACTGTACTCTTACGATTTCAGATCAAAATTGATACTGTTTCACTTTTCACATATGTCAATT